TAAAGGAGGATTAGAGAGAGGAAGTAAACATATGTTAGACTTAAACTAGAGATAATTAATTGTATTAATTACTGTGCTAAACAGTAACGAAAGTTAAGCAGTAACCAAAGTTAACCAATGATGGAGGATAACTAAAAATGTGTATAAATGCAAGACTCCAATAAAGTTCATCGTGATTCAGTTGTTCATGATCAAACAACTCCACTGCCTCGTCATTACAACAGACATGGAGTTGAGGTCTTGGGAGTATCTACAATAGTTCCCACATCTCCTGATTTTATAAAATGTAGCCCCAAGATCTTTGTTCATCAAGTGCCAGCAAAAGGCTGAATAAAGGGGTTTTGCACTTTCAGTATGTTCAAAGCAACCAAAATAATGAATCAGAGATAGCCTCTAGCTGCTTTTAGGAATGGAAAGCTTTAGAATCAATAAATCCCAAAACCTTCCCTCTTGTAGTACCATATGAGATTAAATGATATATAAAAGTGTACCATGTTTCTTCCCATTCTTTGGAACCCTCTACAGATAATTTTAATGCTCCCCAGCACATTTGTTTAAAAAAAAATGAATTCAAATATACTAAAGACAGTATGACAATGCCACCAGCTGCTTTATCCTAAATTCTAATTCTGTACACTGCTTCATGGATAATAGATTTCCATTTAGTCACCTCCTTTAAAGCCTTGAACTTTCATTTGTTTTCTTTACAGTTTGGGGGTCTTGAATTCTTCATTGGAAACCTTCCATTGAAAGCCTAAAGAGCCTAGAATAGCAAGTCTGCCAATGGTTGGATAACACTTGAATGTTCAACAGAATTAGGCCTAAGTTTATCTTTAGCTACAGAAACTTGCTAGGTCACTTTGAGTCAGCCACTATCCTAGTTATAGAAAAAAATGAGGGAATGTTATGTATGCTGCCTTGATCGCCTGAAGAAAATTTACAACATAGATATTAAAACATGTAATATATAACATGTATATAAATCAGCAATACAATACTTTAGAGAGCTGGTACTCGGTATTTTTTCTTAAGTGATTTTTTGCTGGGTTGCATGAAACTTTAATTCTTGGCTGTAGATTCACTTGAAATGAAACTCAAAATGCAACATATGAGATATAATTTATTGTTCCAATTATAATTATCTGAGTTTTGTCACTGTCATTTCAGTCATTTGTAGGATGATTTTTCTTGTAAACATTCAAATGTTCGGTATACATTTTTCTTTTTTTTTAGTCCAACTTGCTTTTAAAAGAGTTGTTTTGATTAGGATCTCATTTTACTGTTGATTTTCAAATTACTGTAAAGATTTAAATTCTGGAAGAAATTCAAATTGGCCCAAGTGATGCATTTTAAATTGTGTTGCTGCCATCTAGTGGAGACATTTCAAACAAGGTTGATCATAAAAGTTTGTTTCTGTTGTAGCAATTTGATATCTGAAGTAAGAAAGGTATTTTTGTACACAACTGGCAGTTTTCTTGAAATCCTCCTCCTATGCATTTCAGACTAATAACAGATGAGGGGGAAAACACACAAAGAAATAAGCAAATGTATGACTCACTAAAAACAACAGTTTAATGTTCTGCTTGTGTTTCAGTAAACATAATTCTATTCAATTATGTCTATTCACTATTATCTAAACAATTTAATTTAAAATCCCCTTTTCTCTGGAAATTGGAGACTTGGCAATATCTATCACATCATCCTGTCTGTGCCTTCAAGTTTCCCCACAGCTACCCATGCGATGTTTTGGCCAGCAGCTCTCAAACTGCCTTTTAACAAGGCCTTGCACAAATGTGTAGCCATCTAGAGGTCAACAGAGCAAGTCTTGTCCAAAATAAGTGGGTTATAATGAGGGCAAGGAACTTTTTGGGTGGGGAACCATTCATTTATTTATTTGTTCCCTTATTTACTTGGGTTTGTATGCCAGTCCAATCCCACAGGCCTCAGGATGGCTTAAAACTATCCTTGAATTTAAAAAAGGTTAGTAACAAACAAAGCAGAATGTTGTAATTAAATAAATCTGGACTCTATGGGACATTCAGAAAGATGGACACTTGACAACTGGTTCACATTTATAATGTGATGTCCCAGAATCACCTTTTGTGACCTTCTGACAAGCAAAGTCAATGGGGAAGCCAGATTCACTTAACAATCATGTTACTGTAGGAAGTTAGCACCCACCCCTCTCCTAGAAAATTGAAATATCCTAGGAAATATTAAAAGGGCAGAATATTTCCCCTAAAAAGAGTAGAAATTCAAGAGCAGAAACACCTCAGAAGCAAAAGCTCACCCCCACCTTTGTTAATGGGTGGGCGATTAAGGCCTGGGCCAGAATACTTTATATAACAAAGATCTCCAGGTAAAGCTAGAGCAATTGCTCAAAAGCCCTTTCAGTGCATCATTATCCAGCAAGGCTCAACCAAGCCTAGAACTCAGGAAAGCCTACAAAGTTAGCTAAGGCCCCCACCTCTGGGAGTCTGACAGCCAATGGATACATTTCTTACACAGGAACAGGAAACACTAGGGTAGGGGCCAACAGAGGGTATATAAGGGTCTCTCAGCATCTTGGCCGGCCCTTCTTTCTCTTTTCCTTCATCTTGAAGCATGTGATCATCCTTTTCACTTTAGAGCTCCAAGCCATGTGGTCCTGTCTACCATTAAACCATCTCTCCAAACAGCCTCCATGTTTCCAGTGTCTTTTTCCCCACTTGGAACTGAATCCAGAAGGATAATTCTTCCAACATTAGTACCTTAACAACTGCAAAGATTCACTAAACAAATATGGCAAGAAAGGTCATAAAATGGGGAGGGGGGTTTCACTTAACAACTCTTTCACATAGCAACAGAAATGTTGGGCTCAATTGTGGTCTTAAGTCAAGGACTACCTGTACTTCTGACATCTCTTCTGCCCCCAAAGTTATTTAGAAAATATATGTTTTAATAGTCCTCTCAAGATTGGCCCATGTTCACACCAATGCAGTTGTTTTTAATCCCAGCCAAAAATCTAATTTCACCAAAATGTTTTAATTTACTAAGTATTTTTCAATTGGTATGATTTTTTTAATGAAAAATCTTTTAAGAATATAAATGATTTGAAATTGTTTTAGGTAAATGATTTTGCAGATGTTTCAAATCAATCAAAATAGAAGATGAATAATTAGGTTCAATATTGATGAATTTATCTGGGATTATTACTAATGGCCAAGAGCTCATTTCTGATAGTGGACCACAGGTTTCATTCTGCTTTGCTTTTTGCCAATAACTGGTGGCCACATTGACCAAATTTGCTACTCTCAAAATAGGTTAAAAAAAAGGATCCGATTCAGTTAGTATCATTCCCTAGGAAGTCCCAAGGCTGTAAGCCAGGCTGGAAAGCAAATGTTAAAAATCATGTAAGAAAGCAAAGCAATCTGTTTCCATACAATTGCAAGAAAACTACTATATAAATAGTAGTTCCTAGGAAATAAGTGCAAAACTTCACCTTAGAGCTTTGAATCCACCATTCGTGGCCATGATGTTAACTGTTCTGGCCACATCCTGAGGATACCAATGGCAGGGAACAAATTAAACCAAATTAAAACACAATGGCAAGAGTAGAATAAATCTGCATGTTCTTCCCCTCCCCCTTCTCTCCCTCTGCATCTCATTAAAACTGAACTGCATATTAGGAACAGAGTACTTTATTTAAAGATCTATGAACTACAACTGTACATGAATATTATATACTTAAAAATGAGTGTAAAAGAAATATTTTACAGGCTTTATCTTTCTTATGCCAGTATTTATCAGCACAAGGATGTCATAAACAGAAAAATGCACACTATGACATGCAGAACTGAATAATAAGCAACAGAGATAACTTTTCATACATTAAAATCTTCTTTACCATCAGTTTGAAATCACAAAAGACCCAACAAATTGTATTAATAAGCAGAGGAAACTCTGTATTAGAGAGAGAAAGAGAGGGAGGAGCTTAATTAAAGATAACACATGCTGGTGTTTCTCAAACTTGGCAACTTTAAGATGGGTCAACTTCAATTCCCAGCATGCTAGCTGAAAATTCTGGGAGTTGAAGTCCACTCATCTTAAAGCTGCCAAAGTTTGAAAAAAATACTGCCATGTGCTGAATTGAGCAAGGGATGAATATTGCTCTAGAACAGGGGTCTTCAAACTTGACAGCTTTAAGACTTATGGACTTCAATTCCCAGAATTCCTCCTCCAGTCATGTTAGCTCATGAATTCTGGGAGTTGAAAGTCCACAAGTCTTAAACTTGCCAAGTTTGAAGACCCTTGCTCTAGAAGCCTGGAGTGCTGGAGCTGCTAGGGAGAAAGTGATCTGGAACATCTTGCCACAATCTAACTGATGCATGAGATTCAGGAAGTCAACATTTCCCTAACTCCTTGTGACTACTAGTTCTGGAAAATGCATATGAGCTTTTCTATTAGGTAACATACAGTAATTTCAGGAGACACTTTGGGATTTTCTCTATGTGAACGCACAGATTTAAATGGGGATGAGGTGCAAAAAATGTGAAATATTATGGCTATGTGAAAAATTATAGGTGGTTCCCTCATCCAATCTCAAAATGCAATACTGCTTCCATTATTTTTTCAAAAACCAGTATTTGTTGTTGTTCTTGTCCTGCAATCTAAAACATGTGCATAACTCATATGAAATAAACGTTTTCCCCCAGCACTAGCACTGTTTTTGAGACAGTCTCTTTAATGAACATGTCAACCATTAAACCAGAGCACTCTTTAACAGATACATTTTAATGAGCAATGTAAGTGACCTGCAGCATTATTATAGAAATCACAGACCCTAAGCCAGATCTATTTAATTAGATAGCTAAATGCAGGGCAAATAGAGTTGATTTCATAACTGTTTGGCAAATTTCCAATGGACAACAGTTTAAGAATCTCTGGTGGAAAGAACAGGTTAGGGATCCAGAGAAACTCAAAGTCTGAAATCTGTAAAATGATGACCATCCTCACTTGTCATCTAAGTGGCAAAACTTCTTGAACTATACAAATTGGACCCAGTCCATATTCAAGAGGGCAAACAATATACACAATCATGCAGTGGACACAAGGATCAATAGTCATTAGTCTTTTCCACTTTATAAACAACAACTTCTCTTATTTTTAAGTTGCAGTGGCAAATCTAGAGCCTTCTTTTTTAATTGGTCTTCCTGAGCTTTCATCAACCTATTATAAATACAGAAAAAATTAGTCTGTATACTGTTTTGCATACTTCTAAAGATTTTCCAATATTTCTGAGAGTATTTGAAGTAACAGGTCTCTTTCACACAGACTCACCTTAAACAAAAAGTATACTTTAGTCAATCATGACACTATAGGTATAACTGACATCATTGTATTCCACAATGAATGTTCAACAAAGTTTTGATAGGAGATTGATCCCAAGGGAGGGGTCAAGCACATCATCAGTCTTGAGTCCTTCCACGCCCACACAAGATCTAAATCCATTCCACCTTGAATTCCATTGATTCTTATCTACCACCACTTTGCCTTGAGCCTTAGTAGTTCAGATTCTTGTAGAGAATATTAACACGCAATAAACTATTCATTTGTTGCTTCCTGATTTTTTGCCCTTGACAATTTCACTAATTCATTCACTGTTTAGGAAGATCTCTGTTGCTGTAGGTTTTTGAATAAGAAATGTATGAATTTTCTAAGTAAGAGCTGGCACTAATTACTCACCTGATTAACTGTACTATGGATTCTGTGACATTGTAACCTGAAGCAGCACTGCATTCGTAAAATGGAAGTCCATACACCTAGCCCAAAAGAGACAATGATGACAAGGAACACATGCTTTGTTTTTTTTGAACTGACAGATTTTATACTTAAACCCCAAAACTGAATTCAACTTTCAGCCTTGCTATTTTATATGGAAGATGCAATATATCACAGTGGATATTGTCAAATGTTTCTATTCTTGTTTTGGATGGGTTGAAGTAGAGAAGCTAAAAAAAAAAAAGGTTTTGTCATTGGCAAGTAATTTGATTGAAATGAACCCACCTGCCAATGTCAATGAAATACAGGTACAAATGCCAATAAAATTCCCTAGCCTCCTTTTCAGCTTTTGTAGCCTGTTTTAGTGTACCATCAACATAGGCTTATATTGTTTATTTTCTATTTCTCCCTGCAAAGAGTAAGTCTTGGACAAATGAATATAAAAAGGTAAGGGCCATGCCCAGCATATGAACATGTTTGTTATAATTAATTTAACATTTCATCAAATAATTTATTAAACATTTTATTAATATGTTATTAAATTACAATTGTATTTATATTTAAATTAATTAAATTAATGGCAAATATTTCCAGATAGCATCAGATTCTTTTTTTCCGTCAGTGGAAAAATAATTCAAATGATGAGAGGAGTGTACCTTGCCCAAGTATGCTCCATTCTCTACAGATACTTTCCTTTCCACACTACAGTCTGTTTTGTTACCAAGCAGAAGGACAACGACTCCAGCTCCAGCTCCTTCCTATGAGGAAGCACAGAATTCTTCAAATATTAAGTGAAATCAAAATGCTTGGTTAAACCTTTCAACAATAATAAAATAAAATCTATTGGGATTAAGTTTCTTAACCAGTAAAAAAACCAGTATGCTCATTTACTTGGAGATATAAAATATGCAAGATTTAATTGCCTAATTTTTTACAACATTTAAAACAATGGCTAGTTTACAAATAGCTATTTTGACAATGGTTGATTGCATACTTTCCTTTCCACAATGATTGGAAAGGTGATCAATGATTTGTTTCACAACCACATGTTCATAGACCATGCCATATAAACCATTTCTATGGAGATTCTCAGTCATACAGGTCATGTCTCAAAGGTGCTTTTTGAAAAGGCAGCTGGATTTGTTTTTTTCTTGTGGAAGATGTTTTGCTTCTCATCCAAGAAAATTCTTCAGTTCTGACTTCAGTTCAAATTCATCATTCAAATAGTCAGAGCTGAAGAAGCTTCTTGAATGAGAAGCGAAACATTTTCCCGAAGGAAAATAACAAAGTCCAGTTGCCATTTGAAAAAGCACATTTGAGATACACAAATTTCAAAGTTCTGCTCCATGACTATTTTAATAACACAATTTTCAATATATACTGTATGCTTTTAAAATATTTTGATGTTGTATCTATGCAGCAGCTGCTCAGTGCCATATACTTTTAGCTAAATCTCTAAACTGTGTTAGAGTAACATCGCAGAGATTGAGCTGCAATCCTTAATGTATTTATCAAAGTAATAAAACACTATCGGAAGCAGACTAAGTAACCACACACAGCACCGACCAGTATTTTTCTAGCTAAAGTGTTTCAAATTTCTAAGAATCATCAAGATCAAAATTTTAAAAAACTAAGATTAAACAACAGTGGAACACAGCTGTTTATTGTTTACCTGGACACAGTTCAGCCAGTACCGCACATCTGTAAAACTGTATTCTGAGGTAATGTCATACATCAAAACAACTCCATCAGCCTTTCGGAAAAACTGCTTGGTGACACTGTGATATCTGTCAGGAAACATACGTCACTTTTCATAAATATGAGTGTTCATACTGTGTGTGTGTGTTCATACTGTAAATATTGATTCATGTGCATGATTGTGTATGATAAAAAATCTTAAAATTTATCATATATTTTCTTTTCAATTTCTTGAAACCTAATTTACTTTAACAATTGAAATGTATTTTAAATAGAAGGGAAAAGGTCTTTAGAGTTTATATGTTGTTTAATATATTTAATATGTTGTTGCTATTAGGAATAGAGCAATGTGATGGCCTAGTGGTAAAGATGCTTGCCTCCCATTTGGAAGGTTGAGGGTTCAATCCTAGGTAGAGGCAGATATTTCTCATCCAGTTATTAAGTGAACTGATTTTGCTATCAGAAACTAGCTGAGACATTCACAAATCACAATTGTGGGACCACAAGACAAATGTTGTAAATGCCTGTCAGTTGCCAGGCACCTGAATTGAGATCGTGTGGCCCACAAGGGTGGTGCAATTGTTGTAACTTTGAGGATGTGCTGTTAATCACTTTATCCAAGGCCATGGGCACCATTGTTAAACAAGCAGTCCTTAAACCGAGGACTACCTGTAAAAAGGGATTGAGGAGTGTGTATGTTTATCCTTGAGGTTGCACTTTTCAACCATTTGAGAGAGTGCCTCTATCCCACAATGAAAGACATAGAATAATGACAAATCACAGAAAGATTGGTGGGATACAATGTTAGAAAAATCTTCAAAAGGTAACAACAATTCAACTTTGGAACTGTCGGTAATTACCTGGGGAGACAAATACGTTTTTATATTATGTTCATATAAAGGTTAGACAGCTTTTTGTCAGAGATGCTTCTTGCATTGATTAAGCAATTGCACCAAATGGCTGAAATGACATGGACAGTTGCATGAATGATCTGCTGATGGGAATTTCCCTTCACTAACAGAATTTGCAGTTACAAAGCCATGCAACAGTTCTAGGAACAAACATGATCTATCAACATACTACACTCCTCTATTCTCAACAGAATTCCCTACACCACCAGATTTTGAATTTGAACAACCTAGAACTACTCTGCCTACAGTTTGACTTAAGCATAGCTTATAAAATAATCTGCTTTAATGTACTACCAATCAATGACTTTTTCACCTTCAACTGCAACAATACAAGAGCACACAACAGATATAAACTTAATGTACACCACTCCAAACTTGATTGCAGAAAGTACGACTTCAGCAACAGAGTGGTCAATGCCTAGAACTCACTACCTGACTCTGTTGTCACATCCCCAAACCCACACTCCTTTTCCCTCAAACTAACCACTACTGACCTCACCCCTTTCTTTAGAGGTATGTAAGGGGCGTACATAAGCGCACAATTGTGCCTACCATCCCTGTCCTATTGTCCCCAATTATTCATATCCATTTCCTGTATTTATACTTACGTTTATTATCTTGTAAGTTATTGACAAATAAATAAATAAAATAAACATTAATCAATTTGTCCTTATTTTTGCAGCCTTTATACTACCTTTCTTGCCCAGCTGTGTCCCACAGACGTAAAGCAAAGCATTTGCTATCCAAAATCAGGTTTTTGATCCGATAGTCAATTCCTACAGAAAGAACACAATTATTTACAATAAAATTCAGGTCAAGCATCAAGCCATCTCAAACAAAACAAAACAAAAACCCTGAGGAATGCAAGCAGAATTTTATAGCTAAGAGTAGAATATTGAAGCTCAATCATTTTGCAGGGGTTGATAAAATCAAGGTTTTACCTAGCATTGCTACTTGCAGGCAGAGAATGACTGGATTGTCTTCCATGTTAACTATACCATTGAAAAGCAAAGCAATGGAAGCTTATGCAAAATCCTGCTAGGAGAAATGAGGTAAGGTAAAGATTGTGTATAGTTCAGCTTAAAGTCTGGTTGTGCAGCCACATTATAATACAAGGAAGGAACAACATTAAATATACATAAAAAAAAAGTAATGTTTTCCATTATTTATCAGAAGTCCTACTTAAGTAACAAAAGTGCCAGGACAAAAGGAATCCACTCTATTGCTGCATTATTTATACAGCACATCTTGGCACTTAAAAGGGCCACACTGGTTGGAAGATGCCTCTGGTATACAGAAAGCTAATTGTTTTCAAAAAAAGACCCCAATAGATGCAGTAGGAAACAGAATGGGACAACTCACCAGAGTCAACTCACCATGGCCAATTCATTGGAGCCAACCTACCACAGGGCAACTTGCTGCAGGACAATTCAACAATTCAATTTAATTATTTAAAATAATTTTTAAAAAATATTTTAATTTTTATCATTCACATTTCATTTTGTCCTTACTTTGGCATCATTTCTTTAATGATTCTATTCCATTGTTTCTTCAAGGTTAGTGAAACTCTTGTTGCGTAGCAAGTTGGCTATGGCAAGTTGTCCTGCAGCGAGTTGGCCATGGCAAATTGCTTGAAACAAATTGGCCATGGGAAATTGGTCCTGGTGAGTTGGAAGTAGAACCAGCATTAATAGTAGGTGATATTCAGTACATACCAAGGGCTTCCAATTCAGAAACAGTTACCTCTTTGTACGCATAACATAAGCCCATATTTTAAAAAAATTCCCAAGAAATCTGCTTTCTTTCAAGATATTTAAGGAGTTGTTTAACTCCATATAACTAAAATGTTTATCTTTTATTTTTAAAAAATCTTACTTTGTTATAGAATAGTTCTAGCTAAAAGTTATTTGCATCCTCTTAGGGTTACATTTGAATAAGAATAAAAATAACTATTATTATTGCTATTATTAATGAAATATTACATTAAAATGACACTTGCTGTCATTTATTAGTCATCTGGATTTCTGCAACCTAAATCTGATAGTCCTGTTAAAAGAGGCCTAAGTCAAAGCAAAATCAAGGAAAAAATAAACCAAAACCAGACTTTTCAAAAGGAAAAAAACTATGTATTTTAACAGGATTTTCAAGCACAATTCATACCTATAGTTGCAGTCACTTTTGCTTCAAAAGAATCATTTTGCAACTTGTTTAAAAAGGAAGTTTTGCCCACATTAGAGGCTCCTACAAATAGCACATTATAAAAGTGATCTGGATGAGAAGAGAGAATGGCCGTGTCTTTAGAAGTTTCTTTATTCATTTGGCAATCACAAACTTCTTTTCTAACACTGGTTTCTTCATTAAATTCTGCACTGACCTCTTGATTCTTCTTACACTCAGATGGACCAATCCATCCTTCTCTTCTGCCTTCTGATGAGTACATCTCTAGTCTTTCAGCAAGTTCTGTGTCCATTCCTGTTCCAAACATATTTTGTACATGACTGCTTGGATTATGCCCTGCATGTAATTTGGGTAGAGCCACCTTGGGCAGAAAATACTCTGATGGCACATTTTTCAGTAGAGATTGTTGGGGTTGAGATACCTTTCTGTCTAGAATTTTCATTTTTGCAGACTGGTTTGCCACAGCTTCAGTGGATAATTGTGGAACCTGAATGGTATCATTGTATTTTAAAGTTTTCTTCTTATGTTCAGGTTGTGTTACCCCTTCTAAAACTAGAATCTCACTTTCTATTGGGCATTTCTTGTAGGCACTGACCTGCATTGCCAAGTCTGAATAAACAAAAGGTTGAATCATGGAAGCAAACCTTTCTCTCAGTGTAGGCTCTGTAGTTTTGACTTCCTTTCTGGTTTTAGAAAAATTAGCTTTCTTCGTCTCCAGATCTTGTACAGGAACTGATCCTTCTCTAAAACGATCTCCTGCTTCTGATATAGCCACTTCAGACATTCTGTTTTGTACAGTATAGTTTGTTGAGCATCCTTTTATTGGAGACAGAGGCATTATATTTTGTTGAGAATTTTCACGATATTTAGTATGATCCAAGGACTCTTGCTGAAAACCAAAACCATCTATTTCTTGATAATGGGGTTCAGACATTTTGTTCTGTGCTGCAATAGCATCATTCAACTCTTTAAACAAAGAAATTGTATCTAAAGACTCCTGTGGAAAGTAATCCTCTTCATCTACAAATGGCTCTATCAAAGGGTCCTCTTCAGTGGAAATCATTCTTCTACTGGATTTTACATCAGCTTCAGTCACTGATGTCACATCATCAGATGCCCTGTCACATCATTAACAATACAAAGAAAAAGAAATGAGTGCTCATAAGGACACAGATCCTAGAGCTCACTGAATTCTAGTGACACAAAACTACCTACCAGGAATATGGGGTTCCTACATACATTAAATATCCTTTAGCTTGTCCATTATTAAATGAGTCTGCTGGCAGGATTCCAGCAGTCACCCCAATTAAATCATGAGTCTTGAGCCAAACTTCCAAAACTCCAAAGGATTTATTGGGAGTTAACATGTCCGGCACTGCCTGGGTGTAGCTGACTCTGAGACACATAATTCATTGTCACCCTTGACCCTGGTTTTCCCTCACCCCCTGGATGTATCATAGTTCATATTCTCCAATGAGACACATCCATAGCCAAGAGTCATTAATCATGTTCCCCAATTAGATTTTTGCGTGGCAGAAACTTCAGTCACCTAGTTACTATCTCTGAAAAACAATGTGTGGAATGCACTTTCGATTTCCAAGCTGCGGTACTGCTCCTTCAAACCCTTTTCCCCCCCTCCCTTTCTATAGGCAATCCTAAAACGACCATAGAAATATTTTATGAGTTGATCTCCAGGTTCAACTCCACCTTACCATAATGGTACAGGTAGTCCTTGAGTCACAATGGCAGTTGGGAGCAGAACTTCAATCACTAAATGATGCGGCTGTTCTGTTCAGTTGTAAAGCACAATGACAGATGGCCCCATCACTTAATGATGGCAATCCCTGGCATATCATTAAGTGGAAGCAGTATGCTCCATCCCATAATTGGGTAGACCAGATTCCCCTGATAAACTGGTTTTACCAGAAAAAAAAATACTTAATCATTAAGAGGACTTCTTGGGTCATTAAATAAGCACCGGCTTACAACCTTCTGCCTGTTTTAAACAACCTAAATCAGCAGGGAAGCCTGTAGGAAGTTACAAGTCCCTGGCAGCTCAAAAGCAGGCCAGCAGGCAGGTAAGTGGCTGCTGTGAGGTGGGAGAAGGAGCAAGGGGGTGTATGACAGAGGCAGTATTCAGCACGTTCTGACCAGTTCTGGAGAACCAGTAGCGGAAATTTTGAGTAGATCGGAGAAACAGCAAATACCAGCTCTGACTGGAGATTTTATAGTACCCTTCCCCTGCCATGCCTACAAAATTTGAATCCCATCATTGGTGTATGAGTAGCAGAGGAGGCATTGCACAAGTGGTAGAGTGTTTGGGGTGGCTGCTGATAAGTGGGAGAGGGTACACAAGAGTGTACAAGTGCCACAAGTGGCAGGGGAGGCATGAGGCAAGCACAAGGCACAGGGAAGATGAGTGAGGGTGCATAAATGGCTGGGGAGGCATGTGCTGTCCCAGCCAGTCTATGGGAATTGGTTAGTTACTTAGGAATTATGAGCTGTCCCCTTAAGGGAATGCATCATGGTAAATGTAGTTAAAGGTATCCTGGGAAATGTAGTTCATGCCACGTGGCTACATCTGTAATCCTGATTGGTCACTAAATTGACCGTTGAGGGGTTGAGGGAGGTTTTCCTCCATTCTTGCCTGCACTCATGGACTGATAACAGCTTTCTTTCTATCGCTAGGTGATAGGTTAGGAAAATAACATTTTTTTTACTTTTCTGATGGGTTAGGATACGTTTTTTACTTTTCTGTCCTGTCTCATGCTCAGAGGTGGATTTGTGCCTATGCAGATGCAGATAGATAATTCCACAAAAAATCCATCACAAAGTACATTTATTGGTACATCAGGTATCTTCATAACTCACATTTGTGACAAAGCTCTTCTATAATGACCAATCCTTTGTATATCAGCATTGCAGGTAAAAAATGGTTATTTTCCTAACCCATCATGTAGCGATAGAAAGAAAGCTGTTATCAGTCTATGAGTTCAGGCAAAAGTGAGAAAAACTCCCCCAGTCGATCGAGGGTCAAAACAGTGACCAGTCGGGATTACAGATGTAGCCATGTAACATGAACCACATTTCCCAGGATACCTTTAACTACATTTACCATGATGCATTCCCTTAAGGGGACAGCTCATAATTCCTAAGTAACTAACCAATTCCCATAGACTGGCTGGGACAGCACAATGCACAGTGTGAACATGAGGCTCAAGGACAACGTGGGAGGATATGTGGGTGGCTTGCAAGGCTCAAGAGCAGAAAGGCTGGGAGAAGGTATGTAGGAGAGCAATTTGCAATCATCCCTTCCAGCTTCTCCATTGACTTTTTTGTGGGGAAACAGTAGGGAAGGTCACAAATGGCAATCACATGACTTTAAGAATCAGCCATAACCACCACTTGTTCAGCGCTGTCATAACTTCAAATGATTGTTGAACATGTGGTTGTTAGTTTAGTTTAGTTTGTCACTGCACCTCGTATAACAGAATTAAATACCATCTTCAGTGTACATTGTGACTGAAAATAAACACAAACACACATCCTTCACGTATTCTATACATTGAATTGAAAACCCCTGATATTGCATTAACATTGCACTATACAGCAGAATTCAGAAGAGCTACTGCCCTGGGATAGAAGCAGTTTTTCAGCCTATTTGTCCTTGTTTTTATTATCCTCTACCGTCTGCCAGATGGTAATAGTTCAAAAAAACGGTTCCCAGGATGAGATGGATCTTTGAGAATGTTTTGAACTTTCTTAAGGCAGAGGAGCTATGAAGCTCTTCCAAAGAGGAGAGAGGGCAACCAATGATCTTCTGCGCAATGACGTTAACCCTCTGGAGTGCTTTTCTATCGGCCGCTGTGCAATTGGCAAACCATACAGAGGTGCAGTATGTTAAAATGCTCTCTATGGTGCAGCGGTAGAAGGTCGCCAGCAGTTTTTCATTCAGTTGTTGTTTTCTGAGAAGTCTCAGGTAGTATAATCTCTAAACCAAAGAATGTTTACATTTACCCTTATTAGTATTGGGGGGATGGCTTCTACTTTTTACCAGCAGCAGTAGTAGTAAGAAGTTTGGAGCCCAGTTCATCAATAATAATTTTCTGTACTGATGGTAGATATCCACCTTGCAGAAGATTCATTTGATTAAAAGAAGTATCCTTTAAGGGTTTTTTGGTTTGTTATAAAGTGCAGTCTGAATCACTTTTTCCTTTGTTTTCTAGCACATTGGTTGCCAACCAGTGGGCCAGGGACCACTGGTGGTCTGTGAGAAAATTTGGGTGGTCCACAGAGAAATGTCTCCCCACGCAAACAATTAATCCAGGCTGTGCAGGAAAATAAGGCTGCGCCTCCCACATGGCCTTTGGGAACACATGGCTTGCATCGCATTGTGAACAACACAAGGTAGTGAGGGGAGGCAGGAAAGAGTGGAGGGGGGAACTTGCCCCACACGCCTGGCCTGGCCACCGGGCTACTTCTTTCTGCTTCTTTCTCCTTCTGCTTTTGGCTGCACGTAAGGAAAGCAGCAAAAGTCTTTCTTTCTCTCCCCAAATTCCACCAAAACAAGCCTTTGGAACCCTGCAAGGCCTCCTGCTCCAAGAGGTTACGCCAGCAAAGGCTCCTTTCTGGTGGAGTTTGGGGGAGAGAAAGAAAGACTTCTGCTGCTTCTGCTGCTTTCCTTGCATGAAGCCAAAAGTCTCAGTCTCTCTCTCTCTCTCTCTCTCTCTCTCTCCTGAGAATGGAACTGGCGACAGTATCCTGCAATCCCAAATAAAGAACGGTAGATCAGTAGGAAAACGGGTGGGGGATTTTCCTGCAGACTTTTGGGGGGACTTTCCCAGGGTCTCTGGTCTTCAGGGTTTAAAATTATGAGTTTGGTGGTCCCTGAGGTCCAAAAGGTTGGCGACCCCTGCTCTAGCACAGGGGTCTCCAAACTTGGCAACTTTAAGACTTGTGGACTTCAACTCAGCTCAGGAATTCTGGGAGTTGAAGTCCACAAGACTTAAAGTTGCCAAGTTTGGAGACCTTTGCTCTAGCACATGAGTTAGTGGATAATGGAGGCTCAGAATTCAAATTGGGTTTTACTGTCATTTTACTCTTGCTTTAGAACAAGGACCTTCAAATTTGGCAAGTTTAAGACTTGTGTATTTCAACTCCCAGAATTCCTGAGCTAACATGACTGGAGGAGGAATTCTGGGAGTTGAAGTCCACAAGTCTTAAAGCTGTCAAGTTTGGAGACCTGTGCTTTAGAAGCTCCTGACCCCACCTATGCAGCCAATCTTCATATAAAACCTGTTATAGATGCGTTTTGACCCTTACTGTTGTATAGAGCTTTTCATTTTATCCTCATTCAGAATATATTCCATGTTCACCTCCTGTTGAGAGCAGATCATCTTATCTAAATTCACAGGGTCCTTAGAAAAGGAACAAAAGAAAGAAGAAAAATATTTAAGATTAATTCTGTATTTAGTTTTGTGGGGAGATGCTAAATACCAGTCAGCATGATCTACTACTGTGACTTTCCCAAAGACAATTCTGCAGCTTTTTTACGTTTGATGCGACAGGAACCAATGGAGAACAAAGGCAAAAAATGACAGCTCAAGGATTTTTTTTAAGAACTCAGCAGCAATATAATCTTCCACTGAATCAAAGTGTTTCGCATACATTTATTTCTCCAGCAAGTGAATCAAATTTTTAAACGCTATTTTATCATTTATAAGAAAATAGCATAAAAGAAAATTATTTATTCTCCAATCTCTTCTATCAGAAGCAATTCCTCTAAGGAAATACTTAACATCTTCAGTGAGACATTTCATTTCTCTGCAACATACTTTGGTTTGTTGAAGATTTTTTATTAAAGCTTAAAAATCACCCATGAAATTAGAAATAAATTTCATACTATCAGATTAAATTTACTTTGTGTAGGCTTGAAAACTATGTGTAGGCTTGAAAAAATATTATTTGGAAATAATAACTAAAGCCATGAAATATCCATGTGCAGAATTTCTAGAAACTAGCACAGCAGTAGGGGAAACCAAGTAAAACAAGTATTTTCTGAATTTTAGTGTAACTTTTATCTTTAAACTTTATTGATTACAGCTACCAAAGGTAGGCATAAGGTTAGATATATACTTCAGATAAATTTTTAACTAGTTTTGGTTTTTTTTAAACAAGCAAAATAGCTAAACAACACTCTGTACACCCGATGACTTAATTGTAATCCATGAAAGCTTATGCAGAAATAAATGTGTTAATCTTTAAACTTTTAAGACCTCTTAAAGAGATATTGCCATGGATGCTCCACTAAGATTGGAGTTGTATTACATGATTTTTTTTTAAAAAAAATTGTTAGCTATTAAAAGACTTCAGAAGTCAGCAATATAGGTTAAATTAATAAAATGTACTTGCTGTGTTTTTTTTCTATCAAAGCTACAAAGATGAAAGATGAGAAAAGCTGTTTTCCATCCATCTACCTGGATCACTAAATAAATCTTATACAGCTTATACGGAATAATTAACTTACAAGCGAATCTATTCTGCTTCTAATCAAAGAACACAAAGCAAACGGTGACTCATATTAAAACACAGAAAATAAGGCTTTGTGAAACACAGGTTGTCCTATTAAATTCAATGACCACATAAATCTTAGATATTATCAGAAACCTATCTCCAGTATTAATTCAGAAGATTAAATGTTGGTGTCATCAATGAGCAAATAGTACCTGTGCAGAGTGAGGAACCTTGTTGGTGTCTCCCTCCATTTGTCTGTTTCTGCAAAGAGAAGAAGGAACATAGCACAGAATTTTCCATTTCTTCCATGCACCTTTGTGAATTGCTTCAGTAGAGATACACACCTGATAGCAGGAGTACAGTCAAAACTAATGAAATAATGTGTACAGAGGATGGAAATACAAATGATGGTGCAAAGAGAAATGGGTGTTCTCTCAAGCAAAATAATCACACTGCATCCCTAATAAAGTTTTTTTCAAAAACAGAATGAACTTTTGAATATTTATTTCAAGACGTGTTAAGAGTACAGGTACAATTAAAATTCTCTTTCTCCTGCCGTAACTCCACATGTTTATCCCATCTTTTTGTGCAAAATATTGGGGAATGCAATTAAGCTATTCTATGCTTACCAATGGGTAATTAATTAATTAATTAATTGGTAATTATGGGGACACAGTGGCTCAGTGGCTAAGACACTGAGCTTGTCCATAAGAAAGGTCGGCAGTTTGATGGTTCAAATCTCTAGTTCGAAAGCATGTAAAAATGCAAGTAGAAAAATAGGGACCACCTTTGGTGGGAAGGTAACAGCGTTCCGTGCGCCTTTGGCATTTACTCATGCCAGCCACATGACCACAGAGATGTCTTCAGACAACGCTGGCTCTTTGGCTTTGTAACGGAGATGAGTACCTCCCCCTAGAGCTGGAAATGACTAGCACATTAATGTGAGGGGAACCTTTAGCTTTACCTTATGCTTACCAAGTTACCATGGTGCTTGTGGAGGAAATTAATAGATATTGATAGGAGTAGGTGTTTTAATGATGCAAGCACTTGTCTAAATTTTGGGAGTGGGGCAAACACAAGCATTTCCATCAGGTAAGAAGTGCTTCATTCAGTCCTGCAAATAATCAGTCTGTTTTCTGTGCACCTTAGCCTTTCTTCCATGATGGAACTCAAAGAGATGTGCATTTGTTTGTCACTTGTGCAGAATATGCATCCATGCACATTTTATGAGCAAAAGAGTGAGAACAGAGATGCTTCCACTCAGGGGTGGGATTCAAAATTTTTAACAACCAGTTCTGTGGGCATGGCTTAGGTGGTGGGCATGGCTTGCGGTCATGTGACTGGGTGGATGTGGCTTGGTGGTCATGTTATTGGCTGGGTGTGGCCAACTCAATATCACTCGCATCAAGGCACGCATCTCCTCGCCTGGCCTCTCATGACTGTGGGGATGCTGCAACAGTCGTAAGTGTGAAAAATGGTCATAAGTCACTTTTTTCAGTGTCATTGTAACTTTGAATGGTCACTCCACACAAGCAAAGTACCAGCAAAGGAGGGGGAAAAAACTTCAGAGATGTTCCTGAGACAGGAAGTCTAGTCCTGCCAAGAATGTAATAAGGCTTAACGGAGAGGCAGTTTCTGTAAGCAACACCAGAATGTTTCCTTCCTGCCTTCCTTACAGGATTAGGCCAGTAATTTCTTCTAACAACCAGTTCTCCGAACTGCTTATAATGTTAACAACCAGTTCTAGCGAATAGGTGCGAACTGGTAGAATCCCACCCCTGCTTCCACTTCACTATTGCTTCAGTTCATTTCGTCCAAGAAATTTGAAAACGACCTTTCATTGTCTTTCCTTCTCCCCACTAAAAAAATCCTGAGAACAGAAAAGCAAAAATCATCGTACTGTCCTGAATTGTTAAAAATCCTGCTGCAGCAACAGCAAGGGAAAAAAGCCATCTCAAATCTTCCAAACTTTTGCACACAGTTGATCTCCTGCCAAGTGGTGTAGCATGATCGGGTACAGAGCCAATCCAAGAACAGCAGCAGCAAAAAAAAAAAAAAAAACAAGAAACCCAACCTCGCAAGCTTCATGTGGAAGTGTCTTAAAACAAGCATAAAGGAAAAATTAATAGTGAATAAAACATTGTGTGATACCAAAATGCTCAAAAGTTTGGAAGATCTTCTCTTGCAAGGGTATTACACAGGTAATAAACTGACTTGTAGTACTGTGTTTTGTCTAAGAGACTAGATCTTAAAAAGAAATTGGATTATCAATTTATGGTCTAGACCAGGGGTCTCCAACCTGGGCAACTTTAAGCTGGCTGGGG